ATGCCTATTATGAAGTAAGCTTCAAGTTAAAATTTTGATTTTGGTTTGATTTTCAGCATTTGATTATATACATTATGTACATTCTGGTGGTGTATGCAGAATAATGGTTGCAGGTTCTTTGAGTGGCATGATGATCCTTTAACAGATAGGGTGAAAGATGTTATCAATGACTTAAAAAGGGAGAATAGAAGACTACATACTACAATTAGGGGGCTGGAGGAGGTCATCCGTGCAGAGGGACTTTTGATGAAGCACCAGTACTGGCATGTGTAGATACCTGCAATGAAAACATGGAGAGTGAAGTTGAATGTGTACATTAGTTAAAAGTGGAGATGGGAGCATATGTAAATACGAATTCTGTGTTTGCAGTGTTCTTTTGTTCCCTTGGTGTTGTATTATGTAGGATGTTTTGGTAGTTGTTGTAAAATCTTTGTTATACCACAATGACACTGGTATGAAGAAGATGTACTTTACTCAGTTTGAACTGATAAACTTGAACATATTTTCTATGAATCTAAAACAGAAAACTGTTAATAAGTGTTGATCATTAAACAGGAATAAGGAAATCAGAATACATAACATAGTTTCACATTCCAAAAAGGGAGAAGGCCCAAAAATAACAGTAACATGATTCTGATATAACAAAGATCAACTGATCAAAATTTTTGGCTCTTCTCCCTTCCAAAAAAGCATATGACTTGGTCATGTTGACAGTACAATAGCAAAAAAACAAGCCAGCATTTATAACATCCAAAAACTGATTAATTACAAAACATCTTCTTCTTTGCATCTTCTTTAATAACTATCATGTAGTATGGAAAGATGAACCCTTCTTCTGCAACTTGTTTAACAAATGGCGTACGGTGACAGCTTTGTTCCCATTCCATTGTAAACCGGGTGGCTGAAAGGGCAAATTGGTGGGATTTATAACTTTGTCTCCATCACCCTTGAAAGAAATGGTCCTATATGCTGGGACATCAACCTGCTTATCAACTCTGCCTCCAGCTCGAATTTCCCTCTCATTTGGAATAGCAAATCTCACACTAACATCCGGGTCATGTTCCAATGCAGACTGTATGTGACAGACTACTTGCTCACTACTCATCCCAGGCTGCATTCATTATTGATGAAATGAATATCAAGGTACATAAACCAAAATGACAACAACAACCAATACTCTTTATGAGGATATTAAACTCACATTTACAGTCTTTGCACTAGTGTTCACATCAACATAGCATCCAAAACCTGTGACTGGTTGGTTAGCTTTTGAGTTGCCTGTTCTTCTACATGGAAGTTTAGACTTAGAAGAACTTCTCCTATCAATATTTTCCATTTCGCTTGCAGGTGGGTTCATTTCTGCAGTGCTGGTAATTGGAGAGAAAGCCACATTGGCTGGCCTCTTCACACTTGCAGGTGTACCAAGATCTGTTGGTTTATTAGGACATTTAGATCTCTTATGTCCCTCCAAATGACAGATGCCACAGGTTTGAACTTGTCCTTTTCTTGAAGCTCTGTGAGATGAAGTACTATCACCTGCCACAACTTTAGAACCACTTGTAGGTGCTTTGCCCTCATTTGAAGCTCTTAATCTGTTCTTCTTTGGTCTGCCAGGTAAGTTGGGAACTGGGGGAGGTAGAATTGGTTCATAGTTATCCACTTTCATGAAAGCCTTTCCAGGAACCGGTTGCATTTGGTACTGATAAGATGCCATGTATGTCTCCTTATGGTACCACCTAGATATGTATGACATGACATCTACCTTCATATGGTATAAAGCACATAAGGCATGTAAGCAAGGAATGCGAGTCAATTCCCATGCTCTGCAAGTACACCTCATTTGGTCTAACATAACATTGTGTTTATCATCCCCTTCTCCAATTTCAAACCCAACATCTCCATTGAAGATTATATTGCACCCTGTAGCAGCCTCTTTATTACCTTGGTAGTACTCCATGCATGAGGGTGACCGCTAATTTATCCACTTTTCATGACTCCCCTTAAAATCACAAAGCCTTTTCATAGCCTTCAAATGAATATCTTCAAGCATGCTGACAATGGGTTTGGCCCTAGCTTCTCTAATCCAAGCATTAAATGACTCAGTTATGTTGTTATCTACCATCCAACATTTGTTGTGACTACTAAAGTATGCCCTACACCAAGTCTGAATTGAGTATTTCAAAACATCAGATGCAGCTTCAGCACTTAATTTTCCTAGCCTTTTCAAGTTCATCTGCAGCTCCTCTTCATATTTGCTCCATGCACAAATCCAAAACCTTTTGCAGAACTGGTCACCTCTCCACTTCTTTGACCAATTATCATAAACATGGTGAGCACAAAACCTATGTTCTGCCTCAGGTATGACATCTTCAGCTGCAATTATTAACCCCTTTTGCATATCAGATATTAGAGTTAAATCAACACCAGTATTCAGGTCAAGTTCCCGAACTAGCCAAGTTAGAAACCACCTCCAATTGGACTTGTTCTCTTTGTCAGTTACAACCCATGCTATAGGAATCATTTGTCCATCCCCATCCACCCTACTGCACTCACCAATATCCCCTTACACACACCCTTTAAAAAGCAACCATCAACACCTATTATCCTTCTGCAACCAGCTAGCCAATTCTGCCTCAAAGCACCAAAACAAATGAACATCCTTTTAAACACCCTCTTTCCTTCTTTCAATGTAGCACTCCATAACTCAATTTCTGCTTTGGAACCTGGATTGCTTTTCTTTAAACATGCAGCATAAGCTTCTAGATATCCAAACTCAGCTTTATAGCTCCCATCCATCTCTTGGATTATCAGCCTCTTTGCTCTTTTACATTTGTAAAGGCTCACATTTATCTTCAATTTTTTCAGCCTCTGCTTTCATATCAGCAACCCTAAAGCTTGGATTTCTTTGCAGGTGGGGTTTGAAATAATTAGCTAACATTTTCTGGCTAGCACTAGTAATAGAAAAGTGCCTAAAGCACTTGTGCTCAGGATTACAAACCTTTAATGCCAGCCCACAGTTCTTCCCATCTTTAGATATCCACAACCTAAAAGGACAACCATCCTCATTCATACATCTGACTGCCAAACGGGTCTTTTCATTTGGTTTTATTTTCAGCTTATACCCATATTTGACTCCATAATTAGAAATTTCTGTTCGAGCCTCATCAACATCTGCAAATGTCATTCCATTCATGAAAGTTCCTGATCCATCATTCACAACATAACCCTCTCTTGGTTCTTCATACGAGGAAACATCAGATTTGGTGCTATCCTCATCCTCATCCTCTTCTTGCACTTCATTAGAATGGTCATCTTTTTCATAACCATTTGGTACACCTCTAGTGTTCACTTCAGTTTGGTCCGTAAGATCTTCATTACCAGTTTCAGAACCAGCCCCATCCTCAGTTTCAACAGTTTGTTCTGGAACACTACAACCTTCTATTAGGGGAATTAGAAGAGGTTCATCTAGTTGATGATCAGCATACAATTCAATATCATCAACCCAAGAGTATCTTCTAATACGATTTAACACCTTCCTTATTGTGTCATCATCTTGAACTAAGAAAAGACCATTATCCATATCCTTTCCAGGTTCTAACACATAAATATTTTTAAGAGTTTTAAAACCCAAATCATCTTTGTATGTCCTTGATATGTCATGATAACACAAATAATCAAGGTCGAATCCATAGATTGTATCCACGTCCCCATTCACATACTGTAAAGGCTTGAACACCCACCTCCCACTATGGTTAAACCTCAGGTTGACCAACCCACTCATTTTTACAGTACTAGCAATACGAACGAACGAAGTACCTTACAACGTAAATGTTTGCTTACAGTCCATCACTTCTAATCTTCTCTAGCGAGGTTGCTTACTGTCCATGAAAATCGATTTAGGGTTCTAAATGCTCATCCGATGTTAAAGCGCAGGGAAAAGGGGGTGTATAAGGCGCAGGTAACGGTCGTTTGATAAGGGAGTTAGTGGGTGGGTAGAAATTAAGGTAAAAGGTTATACTTGTGTCTAATTGGTCCACTTAAAACCTTAATGTCATATCTGAGCTTCATTAAAAATCTTAGTGTCCATTTTGGCCCTTCTCCCTAATTTAAAAACTGTTACACACCCATTAGGAATGTCTGGATAGAAGGCTTCAGAGAGCTTAGGCCATACTTTGATATATGTAGTATGTAGCATTTGGATAGATGGTTTACGAAGATTTCTGTTAATTTTAGAAGCATGATATGTATTGACATTTGACAGTATTGTGCCTTATGAGTTATAACTAGGGTTGTAAGTTATAACTGTGTGTGCTACCCGAAGTTCGTTTTGCCCGTGATCCATTTGTTCACCATTTGAATTAGGAAAACTTTACAACATTATATTTTTAAATTATTGGAACAAACCTACATCCGCACTTGTTAAAGACATGAGAGTTATTTGGTAATTAGACATGATTCAGACATCTCATTCAGTACACTTAGTAAACAGCTTGTTATCTGAGTGTAACTTAATTCAGACAGACAACTTAATGCAGACAGACATCTTAATCCATTCAGGACTTAATGAGAAAAAGTAAACAACCCCTAAGCAGTCCATCAAATGTATTTAACTTTTATGGACTAAATTGCAATTTGCCATACTCTAATAGGCTAAAGGGTCAAATAGGTCCCTGTACTCATATCAATAGCTCAATTGGGTACCCGAACTAAAAAAAGGTCCAATCCAATCCTCCAACTCTTCAAAATCGTTCAATTTTTTCGTTTTTTCAAAGGCTAAAGGGTCAAATAGGTCCTTGTACTCATATCAATAGCTCAATTGAGTACCAGGAGTTTACCTTCAATTGAACGATTTTGAAGAGTTGGAGGATTGAATTGGACCTTTTTTTAGTTCGGATACCCAATTGAGCTATGAATATGAGTACAGGGACCCATTTGACCCTTTAGCCTACTCTAATATGGAGTAAACCATCAACCATGCTAAAAAGAACCATGCTAAAAAGAAGTTCACTCCAGGAACATCACCTATTGTGATTTGTGAAGGCACTGTAAAATTTCCCTTCATTTCAACTTTCAAGGTTCTGTCTGAGAGCAAAGCGCCATTTCTAAAACCCTAAGGATGGAGAAACGCGTCATAACATTAGGCGGAAAACTTTCACCCCTGTCTTCATCCTCCGTCTTTGAGATCGCCTGCGGGCTTGCTCGTGTCAGTGTAGATTCTCCGTCTCCTCCACCCGCCGCTGCCAACACCAAAAAGCCATCACCTGCTGCTTCCACTTTCGAATTCCAGATTCCCATTGACTTGTTATCGGCTAGTGAGGCTCGAGCCTCCACATTGGTATTGCTGAACAAGCTGTTGCTTTCGTCATCTTCGTCTGCTGCTGCTTTAGGTCAGCTCTCCAAGATCGTGAATGGTGAGAGTAGTGATTCTAATGTTACTATAGATGGCATTGCCCATGCGCTTCTCCCTTCCCTGGATTTTCCACTATCCGTTCTGGTTGGCGTTTCAGCCATCGCTGACCACCGCTCTTCTGCTTTGTCATTGATTTCCGATGCGGTTGCTGCTTTGTCCTGCGAGGCCTTGAGTGCGGACATATCCGCTTTCGATTTGATTGACTCTGGAGATGGTTCGACTGCCAAGGATGACGTTTCTGTGGCTTCCTCCTTGAAGGTCTTTCTTAACGGCTCGAAAATGGTGGGCAAAAGTCCTCTAGAACCTTCAATTCATGATATTCCTGAGGTACATGGTCACTTCAAGGAGATTTGCCGCCTCCTTCACTCAAGAACAAGGGTTCAGCTCAATTCTGCCTTCAGAGCTAGCTCCTCTGGGGCTGCCAAGGTTTCTTCCACCACCTTGTTCGATTTGGCAGTAGCAATTTTGCGTCTGGGAGAAATTAGTTGCAAACGGGCTCAGCTTATTTTGGATTCTGGAATGGCTTCTGAGGGATTGCTCAAGGCACTCCAATCGCAGTCTCCTGACCTTAAGTTACATGAACATTTTGCCTCTTTGGTATCTGCATTTACCGACCAAAATTATATTCACTTTGCTCATGGGCTGAATTCTCTGTTGAAGATGGTGGAGAATGTAGTGTCTTGGGAGGCAATGGTTGCATTTTTTGGGCTGGAAGGAAGTGATCTAGTACAAGATACTCAAGGCAGTGGGACATTAGAGGATGATAATATGAAAAAGACTAAGAAGAAAAAGAAGGTGTTGGGGAAGGGAACTACAGCTTTAGTTCAGTTCCTCAAGGATGAGATCCTGAATGCTGCAACTGAGACTAATGATACCCTTTGGGAAGGTTACACTAACAAATTCATGTCTTTATGGGACCCCAGCAATATTGGTTTTGGAATTTTGCAAAATAAAGTAAAAGAGATTGTGGAAAGTAATGAAAGCCGCAGGCTTCCTAAAATTCCCAAGGTATTTAACCTCAATTTCTTGTTCCTTTCATTTACTCTTTCTTCAGACATTCTATAATCTTTTGAGAAGTAACTACTTCACTAGATCATACTAAAAACTGTGTATATCAAAGGTAGTATTTAATGAATCGGCTAGTAATATTACGCTGAAAGAAACATTTCACATTATCTTGGAGTTGCACTGCTCGTTTGGATGTGCTTTTCTCAAAATAGTCTTCAGATTTTTTGAAGAATATATAGAAGCACATAATGTGATATTTTACCTTTTAAAAGCACGTTAAAAATGTAAGCAAACCCACAATTTTTGTACATCAGAGTGCTTTCATATCTCTTGAAGGGTTTTTTTGGTCTCGGAGAAGCAGATTCTTACATGCTTGCAGCTATGTAGTCTAGTATATATTTATAACCCTCAATTGGTTAAGAAGTTATAATCTTAAACATAGGTTGTAGAACCCTTTTTGAGTAGTTAGTTCATGTACAGTTTGGCATCATTTATTTGATGTTAGCTTGTGCATTATTTTCTAAGTTCTTACTGCATTTTAGGATAGAATTCTTGTTTTCTTTGCTCTTATCTAAAACCTATGTATGACAATTGCAGGGCACCCGTGACTTTGCTAAGGAACAAATGGCAATAAGGGAAAAGGCTTTCTCGATAATAGTTGAGGTCTTTGAAAGGCATGGTGCTACGGCCTTGGACACCCCTGTATTTGAATTGAGAGAAACACTGATGGGAAAATATGGAGAAGACTCAAAGTTGATTTATGATCTTGCTGATCAGGTATACTAATTTTTTCCCTTTTTAAAAATAAGCTTGTTTATATTATTGATTCAATGAATTCCATATTTCCAGAAACTTACTCGTTCTCATAGTTGATGAATATGGATTTATTTGCTTGTGTCCATCGATGGGTATTTGGGTGTGCTTTTATTCTGGTTACATGATGATGAATGATTAATCTTCCCATGTGATTATGTTTTTTTAAATCTTCCCATGGAATGTCCTGTTTAGTCTTCAAGTCTGTCATAAAGTAAAAGCATATGCAGACGTTTGGTTAATATAGTCTGACAAACACAACATCTATCATTATTATGTAAACGCTCTTAAAGAGTTAATATCGTTTCTTATACTCTCTCCATCCCATAAAACTTTGCCACCTTTCTTTACTTAGCCGTTCTCTAAAATTCATCAATTTCTTTTAAAGTAATAAATATCTGGTTACATTTATTTCTCTCTCCTCTGTACATATTTGATATTTTAACCTCACAGTTTTTGCTTTCTTATTCCTTGTGCAAGTCAATTTTGGCCAAGTTTTACGGGACAGAGGGAGTACATTATTTACCTGGACAAAAAGTGCTTACTACTCGGGTCCTATTATTGTTTTGTTTCATTTCATTTACAGGGTGGCGAACTTTGCTCACTTCGTTATGATCTCACAGTACCATTTGCTAGATATGTGGCAATGAATGGGCTTACATCATTCAAAAGGTATCAGATAGCTAAGGTATATAGAAGAGATAACCCCTCCAAGGGAAGGTATCGTGAGTTCTACCAATGTGATTTTGATATAGCTGGCCAGTTTGAAAAGATGGGTCCTGATTTTGAGGTTATCAAAATTTTGACCGAGTTGCTAAATGAGCTTCATATTGGGGATTATGAGGTAGCTCTTCAACTGTTGTTAAATAAGTGTGCACTATTATTTTCTTATGTGATTTTCAATTGACACGAGTGGCTGTATTCTAGACTAAAAGGCTGTGTTGCTATTCTCTATGTCACATCGTTGTTTGCTGTGTTTGAATTCAGTATAAGTGTGAGATAAACCTTTCCTTTCAATTTTTTTGGGGCTAACTTAGGCCAAAATTAACCTGGTAGTAGAGCCTCTGAATCTAATCTGATACTAAGCTGTCGGTGTTTACTGCCTCAATGGTTTATAGGTGGCCTTTTGGTCCCATTTGATCACCCTTTCAGTTATTTGCCTGGTTGCAGGGAGGGGGGGGGGGGTGCTGAGTGTCTTACATCAGTTGTCTACTAGCTTTGATTCTAGTATATGAGTGCCATGTAAAATTAACAGTTATAAGAAATCATTGCTACATGTGTGTGTCATATGCATGCAAGAAATATGTGTACGAGATATTAGTTACTCGTTAGTGTCCTTTCTGGAATGATAAATCAATAGTATCAGTGTCTTTTCCATCGACCAGGTGAAGCTGAACCACAGGAGATTACTCGATGGTATGTTAGCCATATGTGGGGTACCAAAAGAGAAATTTAGAACTATTTGTTCAAGTATTGACAAGCTAGACAAACAATCTTTTGAGCAGATAAAAAAAGAAATGGTGAGATCTTGTCTCTCTTTGGCATGAAGCTATTGTCTGTTCTTGTATTTTTATTTGTTATCAGCATACATATCTTTGCAGCAATTTCAGAGAATCTGAAACGATGCACCCATGAAAGTCACATTATTTCACACCAATCAATTTTTAGTATAGGAAAAACAACACAGATTGCACTGTTGCACAGTTTCCGTGACTAGTTCTCGCATTGCCATAACTCATGGTTTTTTGCTGCCTCTTTTCTCTAAACATTCCTTACCTTCTGCCCTTTTCTGATAATAATAAGGTGGGCGAGAAAGGTTTGAGTGAAGAGACGGCAGACAAAATTGGCACATTTGTCAAAGAAAGGGGATCTCCTTTGGAGTTGCTACAGAAGCTTAAGCATGAGGGTAGCAAATTTTTGGAAAACAATGAATCTGCACTTGCATTAGATGAGTTGGAGATTTTATTTAAAGCTCTTGACAAGTCAAAGTGCATCAATAAAGTAGTGTTTGACTTGAGTCTTGCAAGAGGCCTTGATTACTATACTGGAGTCATATTTGAAGCTGTTTTCAAAGGGGCGGTGCAGGTAAGTTGTGGTTGATATATTACTATATACGCTGATGTGTAAGGCTAGTTTGGTAGCATTAGTCGGCTTTTCCTGCTTATTCTTTTTTTCAGAATAAGCAGAAAAGTCACATTTGACTTTCTTGTTGGGCTGAAAGTTAATTTTACCAAATACTCTTCCTTTTAGAATATTTAGCAGTCATTTCAGCATAATAACTCTTACGAAATGAACTTTAAATTAGAAAATAAACAGTATTTGATATAGCATGTAATACTTTTGTGGTGGCAGGTTGGTTCAATAGCTGCTGGTGGGCGGTATGATAATCTCATAGGAACGATTGGGTCAAAGCAGGTTCCTGCAGTTGGGATTAGCCTGGGAATTGAGAGGGTGTTTGCAATAATGGAACAACTCCATAAAGACAAGGAGGTGATACTAGATAAACTTGGATTCCCCAACATCCCTAACCAATAAGGGTGCTTTTGGAATTTAAGAAATGACAGGGAAAAAATATGGTGGAAAAGAGGAAATTTCGTTTAGGAAAAAATGTGGGTGGGGGGGGGGGGGGGGGGGCTCACTTCAAACTCAAATCATATATATAAACTTCCAAAAATAATTTGACGGCCTTTCCGATCGAATTTTGAGCTGAATTTTTTGTGTGGATAAACTAGACTTGATGAATAACATACCATAAAAATTTCATAAAAAATTCCTTCGGGAACCGCCCCGAACGGTGCCTCATGTCCGAACGTTCGGACCTGAGAATTTTCCTATATATATATATATATGGGGAAGAGATCAAATGAAAAGAGTTCTCCCGTGCAAAGTGTGAACAATTGCACTTTTTCCTCACCTCGTTGCACCTTTGCGTGTTTCTGTTGCACTTTTCGCGGTGTCAAAAAACTTCGTTTTACTTACGAAATTGTCACCGCGTTTTTTTAATCAAATTTAGTTCACTGTTGGCTCAAAATGATTTTGAGCCATTAGATTGAAAATGAATGCACGAGATTAATTCTCACTTTGCATGGGAAGACCTCTTTGTATTTGAACTCTTCGCTATATATATATTCAAAGTAATTATTTTAAAGATATCTATAGTTAAATCTGAATGTGTACTCTCCCCGTCTTTATTTGAGACACAATATCGGTTTTCACTTTCCTAGTTTTCCCTTCATTATTGCATGTGCATTGATAATAAAAAAGTGACACATTTGGAACACTCTAATATGCCACCTTTTATAAATAGGATAAGAGAGGGGCGTGAAATTCTAGAAAAACTCTAATAAGGCGTTTTTCCAAGCTAAACCAAACATTTAAAACCAATTACCTTAGTTTTCCCTTTCTCTAACATTGGGAGAGCTCTAAACATTGCAAAAAACAATAAAGACATTAAATCCCAAATTTAAGTCTCTCTTGACTGTTTAGATTTTGGTTGTATAGTTTGAGTATTCACTGTATATATGAGCACATCTTTGCAACATGATATATCTTGCTTTTTTTATAACAAGCAACAACTATGTTTCAATCACAATCATCCGATTTAGATTGGACACATGTGGTCCAACAAACAACCATGTGGGGTCAATCTCTGCATGTTTGATGGGATGACTGCAATTGAGACGAGTCCTGGGTGTTGATTCGAAAGACAAGCAACAGATTCAGTTTCTTTATGTTTTGCAATGTACTTAATGGGGCTCAATTATTCAAATTGTCACTTGACATCAAAATTTCAGATCCGGGCAAACAAAACACAAGTTCTTGTTAGCATCCTGGGTGATGACCTAAATCTAGCATCTGAAATAGCTAGTGAGCTATGGGATGCTAAACTGAAAGCTGAGTTCCTGGTGAACAAAAGGGTGACAAAGCACTTCGATCGTGCCAAGGAGTCGAAGATCCCATGGATGGTAATGGTTGGTGAGCGGGAAGTCAATGAAGGAATTGTCAAGTTAAAGGATGTCGGTGCATCAAAAGAATATACAATCCCTAGAAGTAGTCTTGTAGAAGAGCTTTGCAGTCGGCTTAAGAACACATGTTTATAGGTTCGGCTTTTAATATTGGAGTAAATTTTGAGCTTGCAGTGCATCTGTGCATGTACTTAGGTCTATGCCTCTAAGGTGAAGGTATAGAGCACATTAATTAAATTAAACAAATTATAGAGGCGTTATTATTTGTTCCTGGATTCTAATCTGTGGCTAATTTTTGTTAGAGGATATTGTACCTTATTTCATACTACATATCTCTAAACAATATGCAGTTATGCACATGTTTGGCTGATATTTGATACAATAGATTTGTGCTCGTCTCCCATTACTTTGTCTCTTTGAATTCATCTTGTGGCCAATTTAAATGTTGCTTTATTGTTATTGTTATTGTTATTGTTATTGTTATTGTTATTGTTATTGTTATTGTTATTGTTATTGTTATTGTTATTGTTATTGTTATTGACATTATTATTGATAACATTATTATTAGGGAAAAGTGACAAATAGGCCCCCCTACTAGTGAAAATGTCAATTAAGTTTACCAACTCAAATAACACATGAGTTAGACCCGTGAACACGTATAAAAAGTTCAAATCCTCTTTTTTACCGATAACTTCCCGGTTTCCGGGGTACTTTGTTGAGTGACCATGACGTGAATTTTAATGTTTTCCCATTTCTTTTAATTTTCCTTTTCCTTTTCTTTTTCTTTGATCCTCTATTTTTCCCCATTTCGTTTTCTTCTCTAGAATCCATCTCCCCTCCCTCCTTATTTCTTTTTTTTTTCTCTATTTCTTTCTCCATCTCTTCCTTCCCTATTTCCTTTCCTTACCACTAGATTCTCACCCGCGCGATTCGCGGAATATTAAAATGTAATAGTGATACGACATTATTTGTAATTGCTATTTGGCTAAGTGAAACGAAAGCAAATTGTCATACACTTAACACGTATACTAAATTATGATTAAAGATCGGATAACAAAGACTCAGAGATAAGTAGTAAGTATATTTGGAATAAGTTGGAAAAAGTAAACGGTAACTGGACTTCACAAACTACACATTACGAAAAACTTCCTTATAAACTACATTGGTGGTATGATTAGTTGATTGACCGTCTTCATCGCAAATTAATATCTTCAGACCCTTAGGATTTGTTACCCTTGACACTGCAACATACAGCTGACCATGTGTGAAAACTGACTTTTTCAGTAAAAGTCCAACATGAGACAAAGATTGTCCCTGACTTCTATTTATAGTCATCGCATAAGAGGTCATGACCGGAAATTGTCTTCTCTTAAACTTGAATGGTATTCTTGAATCCGAAGGAGTTAAGCTTAACCTCGGAATGACAACTTCATGCCCGGCATATTTTCCGCCCATAATTTTTGCCCCTAAGATATGATTTCCAAGTCTTGTAACAATTAACCTTGTTCCATTGCAAAGCCCCATGGAAGGATCAATATTCCTTAAAAGCATTATTGGAGTACCAACCTTTAGGGTCAACTCATGGTTTGGGACTCCGGATGCACGTATTTTGTTTAGAAACTCTGGAGTATGCAAATCAGCCAGAAAATCGGCATTCGAGTCTGACTTGCAAATGCTATCTGAACTTAGATATGTCCTTGACTCTTCATTAACATTCATAGAAGTCATGTATTAATTAACTGCATCGACAACATCAAGGGTTGGAGCTAGAATTGCTCGCTCTTGCAAGTAAGTCGGGTCATTCACAATACTCTCAAAGTTTGGGTAGGTGTTTTGGACAATAGTGGCAATGGGGTCGCTTCCACACTCTAGCAAAAACTCGTTTGGAATCTGAACATTAGCAAAACCATCATTATCTTCCCCAGCAATCCCGTCCCCTAAACTCGCAATCCACTTAGCAAACTCAAGCAAATCTTCGTACTCACGATCATCAGTCAATGATTGCAACCTCATGTTCTTTGTCAAATGTAATACCAAGCACTCATGCCAAATATACGAAGAATTAATCGTGGCATTCACAATGTCTTGTCTAGTACCTTTAGTAACGACAGGTAAAATTTGTCTGAAGTCTCCCCCGAAGACCACTGTTTCCCCCCCAAAGGGTTTTTCAGCACTATTTGTATTAGTGAATCTCAAGATGTCCCGCAGACTTCTATCTAAGGCTTCGAAGCAATACTTGTGCATCATCGGCGCCTCATCCTATATGATCAGCTTGCATCTAATTATCAATTGAGCCAGTGGACTACCTTGTTTGATGTTGCATGTAGAGTTTTCATTTGGGTTGATTGGTATTGCAAAGCGTGAATGCGCCGTCCTACCACCCGGTAACAACAAAGCTGCTATGCCGCTCGAAGCAACATTTAAAACAATTTCTCCTTTGGACCTCAAAGCAGCCGACAACGTCTTCCACACAAATGTTTTCCCTGTACCTCCATAACCATATACAAAGAACACCCCACCATTATTTTGTTCAACAGATTGCATAATGGTTATGTACACTTGACGTTGTTCATCATTGAGACTCTGCATGCATCTGTCATGCTCTTCACGCAGGGCAGCACGATCGTACTGTAACTCGTCAAAAATAAGCTTGTTCTGATACATGGTAGCATCACTTATCGTTGGAAATGGCATCGATGGATAGTCCTTTAAAGTCCTACCAATTCTCCTTAACATCATTTCTATTTCAGTCAATGCATAATTCTTAATCTCAGCCTCGGTCAACTTCAAATCTGATATTACATGCATCAAAACAGTCATATCAAATAACATGTGTAATATATTATGTAAGGTTTTGAATATCAATACATATATGTATATATACATATTTGTTTGTAAAGATATATGTATATGTAATATATGAACTGTTTAGTACCTGGATGCATTAAGACTCTTCTTTGCCTGTGTAGAATGTCATCTGACATAAATGTCCAACATTTGTCCCACACATATTCTGGTCTACTCATTGTATCAGCTGATAATAAAATGACAAACAACTTTCTGAGTAACCATGCAGTAACCCAATAACTACCTTCTGAGAATCCTTCAACGTACTCCTTGTCATCATCCAACAACCCTAACGCGAAACACACATCGCGGTATGTATTGTGAGTAATTCCATCCACAGTTCTAAGATCATCATAGCTTGTAGCCCCACGCCTCAAATTAAGGACACATCGCAAATAATAAGCTTCCCCTGATCCCGGAGGCACATACATTAGACGGCCTATGGCAAACCCCTGCTTCCGAGGTTGCCATTCTCTTGTTTTGGCTTTCCAAACAAACTTTTGAGGGAATTTAGCATAAGTTAAATCCCTTGCCTCAGGGTACTCGACATTTGCTCTCATCCATGCAAGAAACATACTCTCTTTGACAGATTCTCGCAACACGACTTCACTTACAGTTGCACCATCTTCAAAATAAACATACTGCTCATTACGGAAGTGAAAGCTCAAACGTTCAACACATGGATTCTTATACTGAATTCCGAATCCAAAAATTCTCCACATTGCCTCACATGGAGAAATATACCGACAATCATAGTACATTTTTATTTCATCAACATGTTTCTCAGTTTCATCTTTATCTGTTGTTTCATAAAATCCTGCTGTGACACGATCATTTCCTTTGTTCACGTATTTGAACAAATATTTTATTGACCTCGATTGATTGCACCACTCCACATTAAGATGAGCACCGTACCTCATCAACAATGTTATGTTGTGGGGCACAACATATCTATTGTCAAGTGGTGTTTTTCCTTTGACAATTGTTCTGCCATCATTCTGCCTCCTATATTTAGGATAACCCTCTTCATCAACGTTAGTTTGCTCGTTGAAGTTCTTAGGGAAGTGCTTTGAACATTTGGACTGAACCATGCAAGGGGCGTTTCTTGCATCACTGCCACATGGTCCGTGCATCATATGTGTGCACACAACTTTAAAATAATCAGGATCAGCCTCCTCATCAGGTATTTCAGCTGAAATTATGCAGTCAATGTCTGCTGGGGTGGGGAATTTGTCTGCATTCCCCATGAACAATAGAATATGAGCATGTGGTAGCCCACGCTTTTGGAATTCGATTGTGTAAATCACTGCGAGGAGTCAACATAACAATTATTTTTTTATTACACACACAAACAAACATATATATCTGTGTATTTATAAGAAGCTACACATGTGATGAACTCAATATACCTGCTCGAATTTGTCCAAATACTTTACTTTGTCTTACGTATTTGATCAAGTCATTTAGCTTCATCTTAAACACTCGACAAATTATATCTGGACGATCTTCGGGATTCAAATTCCTTGAAGAAAGGAATTTATTATTTTCAGGCCATCTTGGGTTACACTTGAAAGTCAAAAACAGATCTGGGTACCCTGCCCACCGACATATAGTCATGGCGTCCTGATAATTTTGAACCATGTATCGAGCGCCCCCAACGAATGTCGGTGGAAGGACAACTCGCTTACCCTGTGTTGACGCATCCATCTCACCGCTTAACAAAGCATCTGATAGACCTTTGTACATTTCACACCGCAGTTCTTTTTGATGGGTCCTAATATACATTAGCCTTGACGACTCAACCATTGTGTATCCATCAACTGTGAATTGTTGGAATAGTCTCCTACTCTTAAAGATGAAAGAGTCCTCGCTTGCTCGTTCATGCAATTTGTAAGCAAGAAACTCTCTAATGCTAACACTCCGTCGACCACACGTGTTTGACGATTTCTCATCAGAAAAGGTTATATCCTCCCTGTACCCATCCTCGCCATATGGAAACAAAAGCGG